CACACACACACACACACACACACACACACAAACAAATAAGTACAAGACCTTATTTTTTTGGTGTCTCCTCTGAACTACATTCAATACGCATGCATGGCTACAACAGGTTCATGGTGCATTCGCTGGGTATAGTGGAATCACAGTCGGCACATGCAACACTCATTATGTATACCTTCCAATTCCTGAGGTCATTTCTCATCCCAGGCTGATAGATCCTAACAGCCGAATGTGGCATCGTTGCTTGACTTCCACAGGCCAGCCAGACTTTGTCTAATTATGTAGGCCTTATTAGCTTCAGTTTTGAGAAGTATAAGTTTCGAAGAGTAAGTTACAGGCAAAAATAATAATAACCAGCGTTAGAAGGAATCTGGTTTGCTCAGGCATGCTGCAGAAGAAATAATACAAAAGGATGAAGACATCCCTCCACTAAATTTGTTTAGTGTATAGCATAACTGCTTCAGATCCTCTTAATTATTTTGAAAGTTAAATTAAGCCAAGCAATTGGTGCTTTGGTTTATAATATTTCTGTACATCATTTGTTGTATCCTAGAAATCTGAATGTGGTTACTGATAAGATGAACCAGAGCAACCACACTGGGTTCATATATATAATCTAGTTTCAAAACTTGGGATGCCTATATTGACAAGTCTTCAAGTAGAGTTTTAGTAGCTACCTTCCCTAATCTTGTCTATTTCTAATAGTTTTGTGCTCATTCAACATCATGTTACATCTCTCTTCTTCGTTCACAGTACTAAGACTGGTGTTGATGGGATTTGCAAACAAAGATTCATTGAATATTATAAGTTAATTCTATGCTTCTGCTCTGGTCAAAAGAAAAATGTGCCTCAGCTGCTTTAGAAATGTGCAATTCAAACATTAGCTTATAACTTGGTCCTAGCTGGCTGATGATACCAAATCAATGTGAAATGACTTGTTTCAATCTGAGGATGAGAAGATCCCCTTCCTGTCTCTGCCTTTGCATAAAAGTTTTGCTAAAATGAGGCATAAACAGAGTTTGAACAGTTGATTTTGCAGAAAAAGAAATAATTGTAGATTAAAAAACAGGCATAAAAATTTGATATGACATTCATGGTGCAAAGTGTAAGTTGTCTATTTGTAAATTATTCAAATTTATGAAACACTGCCAACAAGGTCTAGCATAGTGGAAAAAGATCGAAACTTCATGACACCTTGATAATGCGTGTGTGAGAGAAATTCTCATCCCCTTGTAGTTTAGACTATTACTTGTATTCAAAAAAATTATGAAAAACTATTTGTGCAAGAATCACATCCCCAAACAAAATGCACCTTTCAGCAGAAAACAGAAAACAAACAAAGGCACAATGGAAAATGAGAAACCTTTCTCTCTCTTGTACAGTTGTATTACATCTTCTAAGCCCTCATGGGTGAAACTGTAACTTCAAGTAAGGAGGTTACTTTTACTTTGACATTAATAAATATTATTACCGTCCAGAGAAGGTATGGACAAGTAAAAAGGGCTGTGATTCTTCTGAGCCTCTGACCAAACCTCACCTCCTCCCACTTACAGTTTCCTTCACGCACTCTCACAAAAGTGTTAGCTCTCGGTTTTG